TAGAAAATTCAAGCAAAACAGAATATTTTAAGAATTAACAAGTTTTTTATGTCTTTTGATCAGAAAATCGGCAAAGGCCAACTGAGCAATTTTGTAGAGCATGTCAAGATCTATCATAATCTAAAGGTTCATGAAAAAACGAATTTGTTTCTAATGAGTAAAATAAGTTGAGAGGAAGATGTCTAAAATCAATGAAAAAAAATGTCCCTAATATCGACACCCAGGCATTTTTTGTCCCTAATATCGACACCAAGGTATTTTTTGTCCCTAATATCGACAGTAAGCCATTTTTTGTCTCTAAGTGCAACACATTGTTACAGATGAGTAATTTTATTGGGATGCGAAAAAAAAACTTTATTCAGACGCACTAGCATAAGTCATAACTAGCCACACTAATTTCATCCTTTCATAGAAAACAAGCAAGCTTTATATGGATGAATTGCAACTTTATTGTACCGTTTTGAGAAAAAAATCGATGAAAAAAAAATTTCCGATTTTAGAGATTGAGAGTAGTGCATCTTACTACACTATATGAGAGATGTACATGAATAAATTTTCCCGACTACCACTGTTAAATTGAGTATAGATCGTGTATACGCATCTTTCACAGCAAATTTATTAACTCGTGAGGAATGTGTTAGAATTAGTTCGCGTGAGTAGTGATAGTCACTTAAACATGAAAGCGACTAATATGCCCTTTATTCACCTTAATCTCAGTTACTGGATAGTTATCCACATAAAAATCTCATCTGGCACTTTTTTGAAAAAATCTCGTGTGACAGTTTGCCAACAATCTCGTGTGACATTTTTACACTATTTTCCTCTCTATTATGCGAAAGGAGCATTTTCTAACCGTGATATTTTCAGCAATATCTGGCCACAACTAACAAATAAAATGATAAAAATTTCAGCTCAATATGCCTTAATTTACAAGAGTTAATACGACACACAAAGTATGAAATCTCGTGTGACATTTAGTGTGACAACTACATTTTCAAATTTTATTTAATGTCCCTTTCTTAATAAGAATAAGTAAAACTTTCGAATCATCTTTGGTAGTTTTATTCCCCACTGATAAGCTTTCATTCAAAACCAATCCGACAAATTTTGAATGCTTTGTTATATAGCAAAGGCGTTTTTAAATCTCGTATGACACCATATTGACCATTGACGGTACACCTGATATTCGGAAAAAATATAACATAAACTGCGATGAAAGAACTAGCCAGTCTCATATCCATGATGTATACACTGTCCACTGTAAATGTCAAAAACTGTCAAAATTCAAATGACAAGAAACCAATTAGTGATGGGTCATTTTCTGTCCATAGGTGGCAGTAGAAATCAGCCATTTTAACCTTGTGTATGCAGTATCTCGGGATAGGCTAATGATATATTTGTGATTTTTTGTGTGGTAGTGAGCATCAACTACGGCAGCATACTCCTAAATTTTCATAGAGATTGGCCAAGAGGAACTGAAGTTATTAAAGTTTTACATATGGAACTACGAACGGTACAATAAAGTTGCAATTCATCCATATACATACACACGTCCGACCACACAAAGAGAGAGAAAGAAATATATATATATAGTTGACTAGGCATGTGTGGACAAAGAATATGATTGTGAGTGTTTCAATAACTCTCACGGACGAGTGAATATGAGTCCTAGATGTCCGATGGTATATATGACAGAAAGGGAGAAGAGAGAGTGAAAGACACAATGTACATAACATATACACATATACAAAACATATATTTTTAGAATGCTCTCTAACACATCATTACAAAGCTAATATAAAATCTCTCAGCAGTCCGTGGAGAAATAAAATGTGAAACACGAAATAGCTGTTGTAACGCCAATTACTAATGTCTGCTACCATTTGTGGGAAGGAAAGTGGATGAAATTTGGGTGTGCGCGTGGGGTGAAGGTGTGGGTGTGGATGTAGGTGTGAGTGCTCATATTGCCTTCATGCACACCCACACCCACACCCATCCATTTATATTTATGGTGGTAGAATTTTCGTGGTAAAATGTTTATTTTGAAATGGTTGATGCGAGTCAAAGTAAAAGAAGAATGCGTTGTCTTGCCATCAGATTAAAGAACACCTTCGAATATTGTCAACGTTAGTCAATAGGATTAAGTAAATAACAAACATTACTGCATGAGGTTGATGTCATTCTTTCTTTTCTGTCTACTACTCATCGTATTCATTTTTCCTTGTGCCTGTATGGGGACATGTGTGAAGAGAAAAACAAAAATCTTTGTTCTGATTTTTCTATATCGAAGGAAAAAACGAAATCATTTACCTTAGATTTTATGCTAATTAAATGTTTCAAAATGATTTAGATCCTTTTTCTAATTTTTCCGATTATATCTCAACTGACTAGAAGTAAAATTATGTAAACGAATGATTTAGTTTATCGTTGTACATACTAAATCAATCTATTGTCCATAATCACGATGATAGTGTAAAACATTTGACGAAAGGCTCGTCCTACATGAATTAATCAAAATTGCACTATCATCATCTCATGATGAATAGAGTACTGATAGCATGTTATCATACCATATTTTCTCTCGTTCTATACAAAACAAAAACATCCTATAAATAAGGGTGTAAGATAATGTTATATTAAATACTTATTACAAAATGTCGACAACATCAATAGCTAATACAAACGATGAAACTTTGTTGTGAAGTAATTGAAGCAACAGGTCGTTATCGATATCATATTAAGTATGAAATCTACAAAATAAATCATATGCTTCATGTTCTTGTTGCTCAGCATCAACTCGGAGCATCGGATAATCGTCTCAGAGAAATTGCTGAAACATTAAGTGAAAAATTAGAACCAGCTCATACAAAAGATCCATCTCTTGAACCAATCACTCATGATACATGGCAAACTTTAATGGGTAAACAAATACGATCTATTGAATTAGCTGAATTTTTCGATAAAGAATTAGATGATCGTTTCAATGGAGATAAAAAAGCTTTACTTGTTGAATATTTACCTCAATTGATCGATGGTATGAGTGCAATTGCCACCCATGGTATCATTCATCTTGGCTATGCTTTACGATCTCCATCGAAACAATCAATCGCTGATGCACTGGCTCTTATGGTCTATTCATATAAAACACTTGGACATATGAATGCTAATAAACATCAAGTAGGTAAATAATCAGCAAGAAGATCAATCGTATTATTATTATTTTTCTTTGAAAGATAATCGACGACAAAGAATCGTCTATAGATCCATATGTTGGGTGCAATGAACTTGTTCAACTACTTAAATTTATACAAAAGGATGCTATCGATTTAGCTTTGCGTGTAACCGAAGAAAGTGGTGGAAAAAATTTATATGGCTACTTTCAGCGTCATATGAATGTTTTTTATTCACATCCAGAGATGCTGGAGAAGGATGTGGGAGGGTGTGGGTGTGGATGTGGGTGTGGTGTGGGTGGGTGTGGGAGTGGGTCCATGTGGCATGCAATCACACAGACTCACACCCACACCCACATCCTTCGAATCCCATTTTCTTAAGTTCTATAGTGAACTCTATGTTGAAAA